TGCTCCGCGGCATGTGGGGTCTTCCTGGACCAGGGCTCGAACCGGTGTCCCCTGCATTGGTAGGTGGATTCTTAGCCACTGCACCACTAGGGACGTCCCTCTCCTGAGTCTCTTTTTTTTTTTTTTTTTTGCGGTATGCGGGCCTCTCAGTGTTGTGGCCTCTCCCATTGCGGAGCATAGGCTCCGGACGCGCAGGCTCAGTGGCCATGGCTCCGGGCCCAGCCGCTCCGCGGCATGTGGAATCTTCCCAGACCGGGGCACGAACCCGTGTCTCCTGCATCGGCAGGCGGACTCTCAACCACTGCGCCACCAGGGAAGCCCCTGAGTCTCTTAATAAAGGTTCCTCTCCATCGTTTTTTCCCTTAAAAACAGCAGGTCCCTTGTCTGTCTCTGTCAAGGGTCTCACGGACTGGGTTTTGTTAATTATATTCCTCAGTATTGTTAACACATGTTGATCATTGTATTTCCTGTAAATTGGCAGTTGGATTCCAGGTGGATTCAGGCAGTGTCTCTCGGTTCCATCAGGAGACACGTGGTGTCTGGGTGTGTCTTCTGTGCCCTTGGGGGCACTGAATATCGTATTGTGTGATGTGTGACGTGTTGTTACCTCACCAAGGATTGCGGGCAGGACCTGCTGTTCTGATCCCATTGCTGCTGCGCTTAGCTGGGATGCTCTGTACAGAGCTATTGCCCTTGTTAATATACTGTGGCCCCATTATGCCTGTGGAGGGAAGGCAGGCCCACCACTTGATTCTTTCCCTTTATGGGTTAATTTTCACAGTAATAAGTGGGTTCCCTAGCGTCTCCAGTGATGATCAGTGACTTTTACTGCAGTCACTCCATTGTGCGTTGAGGCGAGTTTGGTGTGTACAGTCAGTGCTCAGGTCAGCTCACTTTCAGGTTGGCTCCTGAGTTCTTTGATGTTGACCTGACAAAGTCTTTCACAGCATCTTTGCTCTCAGGGATGACAAGATAGTCCAGGCTCAGCCTGCACTTTCCCTAGCACTTCTCCAAGGGTCCTGGTTCCCTCTAATGGGAATTGGAATGTAAATACCTTCACCTGGGTGCGAGGGGTGCTGACTGCTAAGTGGACAGAATAGAAAGTGATTGTTTTGGTTTTAGTACATCATGAGTGATGCGTCATGGTGGTACTTAAAATTCAAAATCAGGATTATAGGGTATTTGCCTGGCATCTTCAGTCTTATATCTTTTTCTCCTTTCTCAGTCGTGTTGGGGATCCCAGTCCTCAACAACACATGGGCTGGTGGAATTCGAATATCCCTTGTTACTTGGTGTTGCTGCCAGAAATGTTAATGATCATTTAATTTTTTTCTATAAATCACTTGATTTTTGCATATTCAAAGGATTTTTTCTTTTCCTTTAAGGTTTAAGAAATTCACCAGAATAAGTCTTGTATGAGGTCTTTTGGGGATGGGAGTTGATATTCTTAGGGACGTGATATATTCTCTCAATAGGTAGTTGACCCCTGAAACATGGTAAGTCAACTGTACTTCAATTAAAAAAGTAATAAAGTCTCAAGGAAAAAAATAAGGAAGAAAACAAATATGTAGTTAAAAACTTTTTTTTATTCTAGGGAATTTTTCTTAAGTATAGTTTTCAATTTTATTTATTTATTTTTTATACAGCAGGTTCTTATTACCTATCTATTTTATACATATTAGTGTATATATGTCAATCCCAATCTCCCAATTCATCCCACACCCCCACCCTTGGTGGCCATACGTTTGTTCTCTACATCTGTGTCTCTGTTTCTGCCTTGCAAACCGGTTTGTCTGTACCATTTTTCTAGATTCCACATATATGCATTAACATACGATATTTGTTTTTCTCTTTCTGACTTACTTCACTTTGTATGATAGTCTCTAGATCCATCCACGTCTCTACAAATGACCCAATTTCGTTCCTTTTAATGGCTGAGTAATATTCCATTGTTTATATTTACCACATCTTCTTTATCCATTCATCTGTCAATGGGCATTTACGTTGCTTCCATGACCTGGCTATTGTAAATAGTGCTGCCATGAACATTGCAGTGCATGTGTCTTTTTGAATTATGGTTTTCTCTGGGTATATACCCAGTAGTGGGATTGCTGGGTCATAGGGTAATTCTATTTTTAGTTTTTTAAGGAACCTCCATACTGTTCTCCATAGTGGCTGTATCAATTTACATTCCCACCAACAGTGTAGGAGGGTTCCCTTTTCTCCACACCCTCTCCAGCATTTGTTGTTTGCAGATTTTCTCATGATGCCCATTCTAACCTGTGTGAGGTGATACCTCATTGTAGTTTTGATTTGCATTTATCTAATAATTAGTGATGTTGAGCAGCTTTTCATGTGCCTCTTGGCCATCTGTATGTCTTCTTTGGAGAAATGTCTATTTAGGTCTTCTGCCCATTTTTTGATTGGGTTGTTTGTTTTTCAATATTGAGCGGCATGAGCTGTTTATATATTTTGGAGAGTAATCCTTTGTTGCTTCATTTGCAAATATTTTCTCCCGTTCTGAGGGTTGTCTTTCATCTTGTTTGTAGTTTCCTTTGCTGTGCAAAAGCTTTTAAGTTTCATTAGGTCCCATTTGTTTATTTTTGTTTTTACTTCCATTACTCTAGGAGGTGGGTCAAAAAAGATCTTGCTGTGATTTATGTCAAAGAGTGTTCTTCCTATGTTTTCCTCTAAGAGTTTTATAGTGTCTGGTCTTACATTTAAGTCTTTAATCCGTTTTGAGTTTATTTTTGTGTATGGTGTTAGGGAATGTTCTAATTTCATTCTTTTACATGCAGCTGTCCAGTTTTCCCAGCACCACTTATTGAAGAGACTGTCTTTTCTGCATTGTATATCCTTGCCTCCTTTGTCATAGATTAGTTGACCATAGGTGTGTGGGTTTGTCTCTGGGCTTTCTATCCTGTTCCATTGATCTATATTTCTGTTTTTGTGCCAGTACCATATTGTCTTGATTACTGTAACTTTGTAGTATAGTCTGCAGTCAGGGAGTCTGATTCCTCCAGCTCTGTTTTTTTCCTCTTAAGATTGCTTTGGCTAATTAATTAATTTATTTGGCTGTGTCGGGTCTTAGTTGCGGCATGCAGGATCTTTGTTGCAGCATGCGGGACCTTCATTGCAGCATGAGGGCTTCTCCAGTTGTGGTGCATGGGCTCCAGAGCACGCAACCTCAGTAGTTGTGGTGTGGGCTCCCCAGTTGGGGCACGCAGGCTTACTTGCCCTGAGGCATGTGGGATCTTAGTTCCTCGACCAGGGATTGAACCTATGTCCCCTGCATTGGAAGGCAGATTCTTAACCACTGGATCACCAGGGAAGTCCCTTAAGTATAGTTTTAATATTTGTTCTTTGCTTTGATTTTTCTTCTGAGGGACTTCTAATATCCATATATTAGATCTTCTTTGCCTTACTTCAGTATTTGTCAGTTTCCCTTGAATCCTTTTTACCTTTCTATTCATTTGTTTCTTGAGAGTTTTGTTGAAGTATAACATATATACCAAAAAATTCATCCATTTAAAGTGTACAGTTTGTGAATTTTAGCAAATTTATAGAGTTATGCCCTTCACCTCAGCCTAGTTTTACAACATCTTTAGATGTTGTAAAGGGATCCAGAAAGATCCCTTGTGCTGTTTGCAGTCAACCCTTGCTTCTACCCCAGAATCCCAGGAAACCACTGAGCTCTGTAGGTTTGTCTTTTCTGAAAATTTTCTGTAAGTGAAAAGATATAATTTGTAGTCTTTTGTGCCTGGCTTTTTATCTAGCAGAATGTCTTTGAGGCTCTTTCATGTTGTATGTGTGTCAGTATTTCATTCCTTTTCGTGGCTGAAGAGTAGTCCTTTGTATGGAGGGACCACATCGTGTTTATCCGTTCCTCAGCTGGTGGACATCTGGATTGCTGCTGCTCTTTGGCTGTTTTGAATAATGCCGCTTGCTGTAAACATTTGCATACACGTCTTTGTTTGGACCCACGTTTTCCTTTCTCTTGCGAAGATCCCTAAGAGTAGAGTTTCTGTGTTGTGTGGTTGGCCCTGGTTTTCCAGATTTCCCAGACCATTTCCCACCCTTCCTGGCAGCGTCGGAGGTTCCTGTGCCTCCGCTTCCTCGGCAACACTTGCTGTTGTCAGTTGTCTTCATTACAGCCGTTTATGGTTTCAGTTTGCATTTCCCTAAGGACTCAGGATCTTGACCATCTTTTCATGTGCTTATCAGCTATTTATATATGTTGTTTGATGAAATGTCTGTTTAAATCTTTTGCCCATTAAAACGAATTGTGTTTGTCTTCTTGTTGAATTTTAAGATTTCTTTATACATTCTGGATGCAAGTCCTTTATGAGATATATGATTTGCAAAGATTTTCTCCCAGTCTGTGTCTTTTAGTTATACTAATGGTGTCTTTTTTTTTTAATTAATTTTATTGGAGTATAGTTGATCTACAGTGTTTTCTAAGGGTGTCTTTTAAAGAGCAAAAGTATTAAATTTTGATGAAATCCAGTTTATACTTACAAACAGAAACTTCTTTTTGGAGAGTTTCATTCTCTGGAACATCATGTGTGAATTATCCCACTTACTCTTTATTATTTCTGATGTCCAGGGTCTACTTGCTGGAGTCAGTTTTACTAAGGCCTCTGCACAGCTGTCGGGATGGGCGGGTCTGTGCTGTGCATAGCGCCTGGATCCTGACTGCAGTAATGCCTAAAACTTCAGCACACTCAAGAAGCATGGCTTTTGGCCTGAGAGCAGGGTCTTATTCTGTGGTTCGTGGTTCATGGTTCTGGGCACTGTTGGCAGCATCTCCCCAGATGCCACCTGTGCCCTGGCTGGAGCTGTTGCTGGCACTCCAGTCAGAGGACGTGATGGCCCTTAACTTTCAGCAGTGCCCCTTGCAAGCCGCCTGCTTCTCTGAATGTGGTGAGATGTCACATGCACGACCCCACCACCACCCAAAGTGTGAAGGCTCTGATAACATTCTCACTTGGCCATTGCAGGTGAAGGACTTAACGAGGTACTTGGATCCCAGTGGGCTCGGCGTGATTAGTTTCGAAGACTTCTACCGAGGGATCACAGCGATCAGAAATGGAGGTCAGTCACCCCACCGTGGGCTTCTGTCGCCTCACCCCTTCCTCAGCCCCCTCCCTCAGCCCCCTGCCCCCCGATTAGTGACCCTCACTCCTCAGGCTCCCTTTGCTGAGCCTTCTCCTCCTTAGAGCCCCTGAAACATCCCAGGTTTCAGAAGGCCCTCTCTCCCACCTCGTTCTTTGCTCCTCACGCACTGTCCTCCAGAATTCACTGACTCAGCTACTTATTTGTAATGTTAGAAGTCTACTGCCCCTTTCCCCAGAAATTTTTTTTTTTTAATATTTATTTATTTGGTTGCACCGGGTCTTAGGTGCAGCAGCCCGGCTCCTTAGTTGCAGCTCCAGGGCTCCTTTAGTTGTGACTTGCCGGCTTCTTAGTTGCAGCACATGGGCTCCTTAGTTGCAGCTTGGGGGCTTCTTAGTTGTGGCATGCATGTGGGATCTAGTTCCCTGACCAGGGATCGAACCCAGGCCCCCTGCATTAGGAGCATGGAGTCTTATCTGCTGTGCCACCAGGGAAGTCCCCAGAAGTGTTTTTTTTTTTATGAAAACTTCCAAACATACAAAAACATTGCAAGACTTACACAATGAACACCCACACGTGTGTTTGCCATCCACAATCTGCAGGGAACATCTTCCTGCGTTTGTGTCATTATATATCATATATCCACCCATACATCTGTCCAACAATCCATCTTTTTTTTTTTAAATGGGATGCATTTTAGACAGGTATACTGCCATACACTCCCCCAAACACCTTGTCCTGTGTATCAGTCATTACTGATTCATTAGAGTTCAGTATTCATTTGCAGTCTTATTTTGAGTCAAAGTTTACCTTTTGTGAATGCACAAATCTTGTGTGCCCTTCTGTAAATGTTGATGTTCTCCTGCTGGGATGCAGACCCCTGCCCAGAGCCTTACTGCCCCCAGAGACAGCTCCCTGCCTGCCTTCCAGTGATCCCTTCCCTTCTGCCGGCATCTCCTTGGCTGGTTCTGTCAGCATGGATTAGCCTTGCCTCTCGTGGAGTGGGCGTCACATAAATAAACCATTGGCCACACTCCCGTGTTGTGCTCACCCGCGTGTCACTCCTGTGATGCTTGCGACTCACCCATGCTGCTGCGTGTCAGGGCACTCTTCCCATGTGGAGCTGTGCTCGCCTGCATGCCTATGCAATTTGTCTGTCCGCCTCCCAGGTGATGGACAGTAATATGTCTCCAGTTTGGGGCCGCAATGAATGAACCTTCTAGTGACGCTGGGGTCCAAGTCTTTGTGTGGACAGTGTTGTCATGGCTTTGGGGCCTGTGCCCAGGGATGGGATGGCTGGTCGCGCGCTGGCTGTGAGCTTAGTTTCGTACAGAACTGCCAGAGCGAACGTTTCACACTCTCACCGGTTGCCCATATGCTGTCCTTTTAAATAAAATCCCGAAGCTCTGAATAGAGCTTTCCTTCTCATTCCCCATCTGTGGCCACGTGCTGGGGTGAGAGTGGTGGGAGGTCCCAGTTACAGGTTCGTTCCCTCCTCCTGCTCTTGGCAGAGGAAAAGGAGGACGTGCAGACCTGGGCGGGACCATCAGTTACCTGATGGGGCTGGGTCAAGGGATGCCCTTGGGTCTTATCAGCAGTTGTTGGTAGTGTCACCTGTCTTGTCTGTCCCCGCCCCAAAGTTATTGCCTAGCAGTGTCACGTGGGCAAGTTTTCCTAAACCCCAAGTCCCCGCTGGCTCTTTCTCCCAGTCAGTCTGCGTGCACGCCGTCTGAGGCCCCACACAGCTTGGGGACCCCATGCGTGCGCGGCACATGCGGAGGCCGTGTAGCTGCCCTCAGTGTGGTGGGTGGGCCGGGCTGGAGGACCTCACGGGCCAGCTCCGGGCTGGCAGCCCTCTCTGGGGGCCGGCTGGCGTGAGGCTGGTCCAGGTGGGGGGCAGTCCCAAGGCCCATGTGGTGAGCTGGGTAGTACCACCCAGAGGTCGTACTGGGGGTGGGGTGGGCGAGGTGAACCCTGGGCTCCAGGCTGAGAGTCTGCAGGCGGAGGCTTCGTGCCTGTGTCTGGATCTGTGTAACCAGTGGGTTGTAGTCCTTCAGTGATTTTTTGGAGGTTAGGTGTGCGGTTAAAACAGAAAGTTGTTTAAAACTTCATCCCTTGCACAAAATTTTTTGGTGGCTTCATGCAAATTTTTGCTTCTCCACCTCCAGTGTGTCTTGGTGCTTCCTGGTATGGTGTGCTCACTACCCCACAGCAGGCACCCAAGCCAGGCCTTCGGGAAGGTCACCGGGACCACCGCAGGCACGCCCAGGACGCGGGTCGGGGGTGGGGGCTGGCTTGTCTGCCCACAGCTTCCTTGGTTAACCTTTGGGAAACTCTAGGTGTAGGCTTTTTTTCTCTTAGTTTTAATGAACCAGTGTGATTTTTTCTTTGACTCATCAATTATTTTAAACAATTTCTAAATGTATTTTAAGATCTTGTCAATAATTTGAACCTAATTATATGTGTGATAGTCAGAGAATGGGATCTCTGTGCTGTGCCTGGAGTTTGAGGTCTGCCGTGTGACTGGTTTTCACGCGTGTGCCACGTGTGCTTGAGAGCTTCCCGCTGGGTCCGTGGGTGTCCGGACCCAGTGAGGCTGGAGCCGCCGCGTTGGGCTGCCTGGTCTCAGTCCCGGGGGTCAGTAAGGAGGTCACATGTCCCGGAGGAGGTGGCTCCGTGGGTCTTTGTCATCAGCAGCTTAATTTCACCTTCACCCCATGTGATGGGTTGGCCGCAGGTTGGTGGTGATGGGAGCCAGGGCCCCAGGACTGGTGGGTCATTGGAGAAGGCTTCGCAGCTCTGCCCGAGGGCTTGGGGGTGGGAGGGTGGTGGGTGCATAGGGGTCAAGCCCAGGACACCAGCAAGCAGTCACTCATGCCAGGAAAAACAAGACGTGGAGTAAGAGGAAAATGTGCTTCTGGAATACTCTTGGCCAGAGGGGTCAGTGTTTATGTGGTCACAGTAATTAAACAAATTGAATATTCAGGTAAGCAGAGACTAAGACATTTTGTGGGGAAGAAGGTGCTAAAGTCCCTGAGTGCTCTACTGGGACATCAGCAGAACATTCTAGAATTCAAGAACTTATGGGAATTGCTGGGTCACTTGGCCTGACATGAGCCAGGCTAGGCATGCTGCTGTCCACCCTCAGCCCATGGCCTCGGGAGGAGTGGTGTGGACCACTCCCCGGGGTGACCACGGAGCAGCTGCTGACCACGGGGCACTTTCCAGCCAGGGCCGAGACTGGGCTTTCTCTGAAGGGTCAAGGCCCCTGGGCGTGGGCAGGAAGGAGCTCAGGACAGTGGCCAGCCGGGGCTATCTGTGTGGTTCTGAGGCCCTCTCTGATCCTCTCTGAGCCCACGTCCCCGATTCTGTTGCTGGGCAGTGGCTGCTCTGTTCTGATAGGCCCACAGGTGACAAGAAACAGAGCAAGCTCAGCTGTAGGAATTCCTGGGGGGTCGTGACCTAGGGGTTCCCAACCCTGAGCCTCAGGAGTCAGAATGTGCTCCCTGGAAAACTCATGACTAGGTGGGCGCGACCCAGTGCGCTGTCAGAGCTCTCCAGCCACCAGCCCGTCAGGCCCCGGCGTGGGAGCAGAGTGACCCCCATCTGTTGAGCTGGAGGGGTGCCAGCTGCTGTCCCCGAGGCTGTCCCCTGGTTGCATGTGTCTCGAAGTTTCGTGTGCATAGATTTATCAGCCTGGTGAGAGAAGATGGTTGTCTGAGAATGTCTTGTCTCCTGGGTCCTGCTTGTCCCTTGTGGTCAACCTTCCACTTGATGCTGAGATGGGGCTCGCCACACCCCTCCTCCCTCCTTGCTTTGGCCTGGGCCCTTCCGCCTGCAGCTGGGGGGCCCTCTGTCCTCACTTCCTCCTGAATCAGAGCCTCCAGGTCAGGACAACTTTTTTTTTTTTTTTTTTTTTTTTTTTTTTTTTTTTTTTTTTTTTTTAATTATGTTTTTGGCTGCGTCGGTTCTTGTGGCACACGGGATCTTTCGTTGTGGTGCGCAGGCTACTCTCTAGTTGCGGCGCATGGGCTTAGTTGCCCCACGGCATGTGGGAATCTTAGTTTCCCAACCAGGGATCGAATCAGCATCTGCTGCATTGCAAGACTGATTGTTAACCACTGGACCACTAGGGAAGTCCCCAGGTCAGGACAACTTGGTGAAAGTTCCGCCTCTGGGGCCCACACACATCACTGAGTCTCACTATTTTTGCATTCTTTTTTGGTAACATTTCCACTGTAATTAAAAATAAAAGCTTCTTAGGCTGTCCCAGAGTTAGCCTGAATGCTCTAGGAAGTGGTGCTGTGATTTCTTCAGTGGCACGAATATTCTGGAACAGCAGCATCCCACGTGGTGGTGTGGGAGGGTGAGGCTCGGTCTCAGCATGATGCCACACTGCAGCTGGTGTCCCCTGCCCCAGTTTAGCCTATGCAGAGCAGACCCCACTCCTGAAGTATGTGCCGGAGGGAGCAGAGAGGGTGGGGGTTGGGGGGCAGGGTTGGTCAGGGGCCCAGCCTGGCCAGCAGATAGGGTGGGGTCCTCGGGTGGGCAGGCTAAGGGGAGGCTGCTGTGATGAGAGCTTGAATCAGGCAGATGAAGGGGCTGCAGCTGTGGGAGAGGGCAGCTGAGACCTGTCAGGGCCGTCGGCTTTGCCAAGAGGACCATTCCAGGCTCGGGGACACAGCACCGGTGGAGCTGGCTTTCTAGTGGAAGACAGCCCGGACAACCCCGGGAGGTGATGGGACTCGGGGGACGGTGAAGCTGGGGGCACACAGGTCTCCCAGAGAGTGTCTGGGAAGGGGACCTGGGGCCACGCTGCACATTTGGGGCTGCAGGAAGGCTGGGGGGCTGGGCTGGGCAGCTTGGGTGCCTCAGGAGACTCGGCCTCTTCTGGAGTGGGCAGTGCTGGTGGGGACGCCCCTCCCCGCACAGTGGGTGAACTGCTGGGAGGGTCAGGGCTGTGGGCCCTGCTTTTCCTTTTTTTCGTTTTTCTTGTTGTTTTTTTTTTTTTTGGCCTCGCTGCTTGTGGGATCCCAGTTTCCCAACCAGGGATTGAACCCAGGCCCTGGCAGTGAAATTGCGGAGTCCTAACCACTGGACTGCCAGGGAAATCCCCCTGCTTCTCCTTTATTTTTTGGTAATTTGACGTCATCATTTAACTTTTGTTAGGAACGGAGAGTGAAAATAAAATTAGAATAAAAACAAGTCAGAGACGATTTTGAAATTGTTAACTCGTAGCATTTGGGAGAATGGGAGCGTGATCACCTGAACTGCTTTCAGCCAGAGCTCACCTCACGTCTTCCTGCCGGCACCCTTGCCATGGCCGTGGTCGGCCTGTCGCGTCAGTCAGGCTTCCGTTCTGCGTCCGGGAGTGGAGCACTGACTCCGTGTACTGACCCAGTTTTGCAGAGGAGCGCAGGAGTCTGCTGTCCTCGCCACAGGCCTTGTTTCAGGAATAGAATGAAATCAAGGGGGGTTGTTACAAATGGGCCATTGCTCTGGCTCATCCCCCACCCCCAGGCTCTGGAAGAATAAGATAAATAAACAGTAAAAACTGATACTTAATTGAGAAAACTGATAGAAGAACCATATTTAGTTCCCATCGAGATTGTAGAAATGCGAGCTGCGTTCACATGTGCCTCCACTGCATGGGGCAGGACCCATCCCTGGAATCTGAGCACATGCCCACTGTGGCTAAGATGATTGGCTGCTTTCTGAGAGTTTTGAATTCTCTGTTTCAGTTTTTGGAAGTGCAAGCAAGACTTAACATTTGAAAGTGGAAAGATAGGCAGAGTCAGCCTAGTGTTTTACAGCTTTGCGCCGGGGTAAGTGGTGCTCTCCCTCCCCTGCCCCAGACGCCAAAGTCTTCCATCCATAGTCACCCTCTCCCTATGGTTCTGCCATAGTTCACCTGCACCAAAGACCAGACCTCCAACGAGGGGCTGCAGGGCTGTGGGTTGGTGTGGTGGGCAGCGAGCACGGGGTCCAGGTCCAGCCTGCCATGCTCTGAGGCTCCTTCACTCCAGCCGCCGTCTGAGCTACACTCCCCTGGGGAAAATGGTACAAAGCAACCGCAGCAAAAGTACCTGTGATTCTTAAGACGGAAGCAGCCAAAGGGCTTTTGCAGTCTTGAATTTGGAGCAGCATCTCACAGTTACTGAACGTGTAAACGTTTGAATCTGCTTGATTGTCGAGGGGAAGCATGATTATTCTGTTCAAATTGGGAGCTCTTCAAAAACAGTACATAGCCACGTGTCCTGCCACTGAGGGGTCCGGCAGCGTCCACCCCCCTCCCCAGGCTGTCCTGTGACTCCAAGCCTCAGAGCCCTTTGGGCGTGGTGTCCAGATGCCAGAGAAGAACGTCCTCTGGCCAAGGAGGCCAGTGCTGACCCTTCAGAGTCCTTTTCCCAGGAGCATCAGGAGGCTTGCTGGTCCACTTGGCCCTCAAAGGCCTCTACTCCATACAAATAAGTGACTGATGTTTTGTTAGGTCACGTGAAACACACTCAACAAGGAACTGATGTGTTTGAGTAGTCACTGCTGTGATCTGTGTTGTGGATTTTCCTCACCACGCAGTCCTCTGTGCTCTGTGGATACCACCTGGGACACCAACTGCCCAGGTGCCCAGGTCACCCTCCCTCCTGTCTGACTTGACTGCAAATCAAGAGTTCCAACTTCCTCCGCAGGTTTGAGAATTTGCTAGAATGGCTCATAGAACCCAGGGAAGGGCTTTACTGACTGTTACCAGTTCATTATAAAGGATATTATGAAGGTTACAAATGAACAGCCAGGTGAAGAGGTATATGGGGCAGGGTCTGGCATGGAGAGGTTTCTGTCCCCAAGGAGTTTGGGATGTGCCACCCTCCTGGTATCTGAGTGTGTTCCCAACCCGGAAGCTCCTCGAACCCCTTCATTTGGGGTTTGTGTGGAGGCTCGATTACACGGGCAGGACTGTCTAATCCCTGGCTGTTGGAGATCAGCTGCGTCTCCAGCCCTTCCCCATCCCGGTAGGTCAGAGGTCAGGAGTGGGGCTGAAAGTTCCCTGGCAACCAGCCCCCATCCTCTGAGAGTCACCTCACTGGTGTGAACCCAGGTAAGGCTGAAAGGGGCTTGTTGTGAATAAAAGATGCTCCTTTCACCCCTTCACTCAGGAAATCCCCGGGGTTTTAGGAGCTCTGTGCCAGGAACCAATGGAGACAAAGACCAAATAAATATTTCTTATGATATCACAGTAATGAAGCAGCTTCAGGAAACATAGGCGTCTTGCATGCTCTTTGGGACGGGCTATGCCCTGACATTGCCTAGAGGCCGTGGGAGCAGAGCTTTTTCTGCAGAAGGGCCACTGCTGTGGGCTCGTGTCTGAGAAGTGGGGTCTCTGGTGCTGACGTCAGCGTTTTCCAGCATGAAGCGATAGCGTTTCCTTCAAACTTATTATTATTATAAAATAAAATGTGTTGTAGAAGGTAAAGTTAAGTAAAAAGGGAGAAAATAAAAGCTGCCATGGGTCCAGCACCTTGGACAGATGTTATCACACTGACACCTCCCCAGACAAGACAGATTCTTTAAAACGTGGAGTCTGGGACTTCCCTGGCGGTCCAGTTGTTAGGACTCCGCCCTTTCACTGCCAAGAGCCTGGGTTCAGTCCCCAGTTGGGGAACTAAGATCCCGCAAGATGCATGGCGTGGCCAAAATAGTGGAGTCTGGCCCAAAGCCTTGTTTCCCCGGGGGCTGCACTGCTTGCCTCCTTCCCCTGGGGTTTCTCATGGCCAGTCCAGGTCCCGCTCACGTCCACCATGCACGCACCTTCCCCCTTGACCTCTCTGGGGATACTCTGGGCCACCTGCTGAGCCGGGTCTTCTTTCTCTAGCAGATCTCGATGGCCAGCTCTGCAGCGTCACGCCTGCCCCCGACGAGGAGCCGCCAGCCTGCCCTGAGGAGTTCGATGACTTCGTTACCTTTGAGGCAAGTGGTCTTCCCGGAAGAGCTGAGCAGGCATCTGACAGATACACCCTCTCTTCCTCATGTACCCTAAATCCTGCTTCACTCATTGGTCCCCACGGCTGTTTTTTTTTTTTAATAGATCTTTACTGGAGTATAATTGCTTCATAATACTGTGTTAGTTTCTGTTATACAACAAAGTGAATCAGCCATATGCATACATATGTCCCCATATCTCCTCCCTCGTGAGCCTCCCTCCCACCCCTTCCTATCCCACCCCTCTAGGTCATCGCAAAGCACCGAGCTGATCTCCCTGTGCTATGCTGCTGCTTCCCACTAGCTATCTATTTTACATTCGGTAGTGTATATATGTCGATGCTACTCTCACTTTGCCCCAGCTTCCCCCTCCCACCCCGTGTCCTCAAGTCCATTCTCTGTGTCTACGTCTTGATTCCTGCCCTGCAACTAGGTTCATCAGTACCTTTTTTTTTTTAGATTCCATATATATGCGTTAGCATGCAGTATTTGTTTTTCTCTTTCTGACTTAACTTCACTCTGTATGACAGGATCTAGGTCCATCCGCCTCACTACAAATAACTCAATTTCATTTCTTTTTATGTCTGAGTAATATTCCATTGTATATATGTGCCACATCTTCTTTATCCATTCATCTGTCGATGGACATTTAGGTTGGTTCCATGTCCTGGCTATTGTAAATAATGCTGCAGTGAACATTGTGGTACATGTCTCTTTTTGAATTATGGTTTTCTCAGGTATATGCCCAGTAGTGGGATTCCTGGGTCATATGGTAGCTCTATTTTTAGTTTTTTAAGGAACCTCCATACTGTTTTCCATAGTGGTTGTATCAATTTACATTCAACAGTGCAGGAGGGTTCCCTTTTCAGCACACCCTTTCCAGTATTTATTGTTTGTAGATTTTTTTGATGATGGCCATTCTGACCGGTGTGAGGTGATAACTCATTGTAGTTTTGATTTGCATTTCTCTAATAATTAATGATGTCGAGCATCTTTTCATGTGCCTCTTGGTCATCTCCACGGCTGTTTCTGTGGGGAATGGCATGAAGGGCAGGCAGGCAGGGCTCATTCTGACACTGGTGGGGACACTGTGGTTGGCAGGCGTCTGCTCTCCGTGCTGTGCACCCGGGGCTGGTGGCCTGTTGTCAGCAGAGGGGCAGGCTCTCCTGTGACATTGCTATCCCCTTCTGCCAGACTGCCAAGCAAGGCCAGAGCACGGGCTCCTTTGTGAAATGAAGAGCTTCTGAGAGTCCCTGTGAATGGTAACACCCTACAGGATCCTACTGCCCTCCTCTGTGTCTCTGTAGCTTGTTCCCTGCTCTGAGAAACTGCCCAGGTATTAGTTACCCCTCAGATGACACAGGTTCACTTCCTGACTGTCTCTCACTTCTGCCAGCACAGGCCTCCAAGCCACCTGGGAGCATTCACCCCTCACAGCTTTGTCCTAGAGTCCCACCTGGGCCTGAGCCCCTGAGGGCAGGGACAACCCCACCTTGCGTCCCCTATTCAGCAACAGCTGGTGTGTTCATTCTTTGTGTGACCTGGTGGTGCCAGGCCCAGTCCTGGTACATGGAGGCCAAGTGCCCAGCTGGGGCGTGTGCTGGCTGTGAGGCATGGTGTGGCCGGGCAGGGCTGAGGGTGTGCAGGACCCTGACGTGTCAGCTGTCAGGTCAGCTGCCAGACCCCGAGACTGTGGGATGGCGAGGCGTGGAAGGCTATGTGTGGAATGACACACCTTGAACTTTCCAGAAGTGCAGCTAGGTCAGGGGAGAGCCTGCTTTTCTTGTTCAGAGCGTCTAGAGAACCCCGTCTCCTCACTTAGTGGTTGGCCAGCAGCAGACCTCTCCTGCCTGTTGACACACCAGCACACACTTTACCATCAATGTCGTCCGTTTTGTTCTTCTCTCGTATTTCCGTGAGGGCATTATATTGATTCTTTGTATTTGATGTGTATGTGGGTGTCGTGGGTTGAATGGTACTCCCCAAAAGGTACATCTGAACCCGTGAATGTGACCTTATTTGGAGAAAGGGTCTTTGCAGAGCTCGTTAAGTTAAGGATCTCAAGATGGGATCATGCTGGGTAGAGTGGGCCCTGAATCCAATGACCAATGTCCTTTGAAGAGAAAGGGAGATGACACACAGGGGAGAAGGCGGTATGAAGACGTGGGCAGAGCTGGAGGAACATGGCTGCCAGCCGAGACATGCCCTAGCCACCAGGAGCTGGACGAGGCAGGAAAGGTCCTCCTCTGGAGCCTCAGGAAGAATTCAGCCCTGCTGACACCTTGATTTCCAACTTCTGGCCTCCAGGTCTCTGAGAATATATTCCTGTTGTCTTAAGCCACCAGTTTATGGTAGTTAGAAATTGGCAGCCCTGGGACTTCCCTGGTGGTGCAATGGTTAAGAATCCACCTGCCAATGCAGGGGACACAGGTTCGATCCCTGGTCTGGGAAGATCCCACATGCCACGGAGCAACTAAGCCCACGAGCCACAACTACTGAGCCCACGTGCCACAGCTACTAAAGCCTGCGCACTCTAGGGCCTGTGTGCTGCAACTGCTGAAGGCTGAGTGCCCAGAGGCTGTGCTCCGCAACAAGAGAAGCCATTGCAATTAGAAGCCAGTGCACCACAACAAATAGTAGCCCCCGCTCGCTGCAGCTAGAGAAAGCCCAAGCGCAGCAACGAAGACCCAATGCAGCCAAAAAAAACCCCACCGAAATTTAAATTAAATTAAATTTTAAAAAGAAAAAAGAAATTGGCATCCCCAGGGAACTAATACAGTGAGTTTTGTTACTCAGGTTAGTAAAAGGCGTCAACACATTTGATCCAAAAGGATGAGGCCCGGGCTTCCCTGGTGGCGCAGTGGTTGAGAGTCTGCCTGTCGATGCAGGGGACACAGGTTCGTGCTCCGGTCCGGGAAGATCCCACATGCCGCGGAGCGGCTCGGACCGTGAGCCGTGGCCGCTGAGCCTGCATGTCCGGAGCCTGTGCTCCGCAACGGGAGAGGCCACAACAGTGAGAGGCCCGCGTACTGCAAAAAAAAAACAAAAGAAAAAAGAACAAAAGGGTGAGGCCCACTGACGCTGGGGCTGCCTCCTGAAGCCTGGGCAGAGCAGACTTGGGGTGCTGTCCGATCGCTGGCTCCTGTCCTCTGCAGGGTGGACCCCCCTGGCATCCCACAAGTGTGGCCCTCCCACCTTTTTTTTTTTTTGCAGTACACGGGCCTCTCACTGTTGTGGCCTCTCCCATTGTGGAGAAC